TCTTCTCTTGTAGAAAGTCAATCTTGAAATATTTCCTACACATTATAGCTTTAGTGTTTTTCTGACTTTTCTTCTGGTTACTCGCGAAGTTTCGTGATTTAAAAGCGATATTTCAAGCTCCAAACGAACCGATTTCACACTTGGATAACGCGAATCATGGCAGTCGTCGAGCAAGGTAATTATTTCCAAACTTTGAATGATTGTTTGTATATAAATGGCTAGATCTTTCAGATTTTATATTGGGAATATACAGTAAGTAATAAATATAAGTTTACATATACTTTTAGGCCTTAGATCCAGATATTAAGACCGGCATTTGTGATAAACGAGCATGAGTTTCCACTGTTGCGTTCCCTTGTGTACGAGCGATGGTCGWTATAACGACAAGACTTTATCCTTTCACCGCTTCCCTCCTGAGAAAAATAAGGACTTAAGACTTGCCTGGATATCAAAGATTCGTCGAGATGTTGGTCCTCATTTTAAGGTAAGCTTACAGTCTAAAGTTTGTAAGTTTTGGCGCAGATTATATACCTGTATACAGTATTCATACCGGTACTCGAACTCCAAAGTACTGTAAGCTTTTATAAATTTAATTGACTGAGAAGCGACCCAAGAGCTAAGATACTTCAAACTGAATAAGCACTTTTTTTTTCAGATATCTGGGAATACAAGGGTATGTTCTAAACACTTTGTTGAGACTGACTTTAAGCCACTTGATAACAGTAATCGAAGACTCCTTAAACAGGGAGTCATCCCTACTGTTTTCAATTGGTCTAGTCAACCAAAGCAAAGGAGAAAGATTATACGTCAGGTGGACAGGTGACTACATTACCATTCTTACACATAAAGTTTCTGCTGGCAAAATAAATGTGGATGTTATATTCAGTATTCTTATCTTTGCATTTTAGTGAGACCCAAACAGATGAAAGTGAAGAAGAAGATGATCAGGCATTTGACTTGATGGTAGAACTACCAGATCCCAACATACAAGCCATAATGGAACTGGAAGTGTACAAAGCTGAAAAAGCTGCAGCTGAGGCAAAAGTTCAGGCAGCTGAAGCTGCTTTAGCATTAGTAGATTCTGCTCAAGCTAAAGCAGATGCTGCAGACATTGAAATTGCCAAATTGACTGCAAAGTTAGCTATTTCAAAGTTTGGTATTGAGAGATTTTCTTCAGACGATAAGAATATTAGGTTTCATACAGGTTTTCCTACTTATAAACACTTGTACAGGTTCTATGAAATTGCAGAGCCCTGTGCGCAACGTATGACATATGTTTATTCAGCTGGCATGAATACACAAGATAGTCGGCCTTTGGCTAGAGTTATGCCTTTAATTGACGAATTATTTCTATTTTTAGTTAAAGTAAGGCTTGGTTTACTAGCAGAAGATTTAGCCAATAGATTTCAGATTCACATATCGTCAGTAAGTAGGAAAATTACCACCTGGGCGAACTATCTTTACTTTTTTCTAGGATCTCAGTGTATATGGCCAACCAGACAACAGGTCAATGATTGTATGCCACAGGGTTTTAAGAACCTCTACCCTAAAACCAGAGTGGTAATAGACTGCACAGAAATTTTTGTCCAGGTACCATCCTCCCTTTTATTGCAGTCCCAATTGTATTCTTCATACAAAAGTCACACCACCCTTAAAGGTTTACTTGGTATTGCACCTCATGGTGCAGTTACATTTGTTTCTAGTTTATATACAGGTTCAATTTCTGACAAAGAGCTAACACGGTGTTGTGGGATCCTAGACCTTCTAGAACCTGAAGATTCTGTTTTAGCAGACAAGGGTTTTGATATAGGAGCTCTTCTTCAAACAAAGGGTGCTACATTGAACTTGCCACCATTTCTTGAGGGGAGGGATCAGTTCACAGAGGAACAAGTTCATGAAACAAAAACCGTGGCTAAGTTACGTATTCACGTTGAACGTGCCATAAGACGTATAAAGGAATTTCATATTTTTGACTCGGACATCCCTTTAAACCTTTTGGRTTCAATCAACCAAATTTATACTGTTATTTGCTTAATAACTAATTTCCAAGGACCCCTTATAATGGCAGCTGCAACATGAAAACTTGTTTTAAAGGAGTTTATTATAACAATAGGCATGATCATGAAAAAAAGAAATTGATAATATAATTCTTACAATAAATTATTATTATATAATATTATGACAAATAATTATTACTGTTCAGTTTTACTATTTATTTCAAATAATAATTGAAAAAAAAACTGGTCCACTTTGTCTTTGCTTGCTTKAAAAAACTGTTTATCAAAATAAATTCTTTCACAATGAAATGTAGTTGAATTGATATAACTTAAAAAATCACACCACTCTAATCCACTTAAAGCTATTTGGGATTGTACTTGATAGTAATAATCGTGTGTCTTCTTAAGACATAATTCATTAGTCACTGGGTCTTTACTAAGTTAAGACACATTATCAAAGGTTGTAGAACCCTCCTTGACAACTTTTACCTCAAGAAGTCCAAAGGGCAAAGAACCATTATTTTGGGCTTCAATGTCGAATACTTTTCTATCTGGGGTACATCCTAACCAGGGACACCTGGGGTTAATAATAAGCCCAGAAGGAAACAGGTTGACCATGCCTTCTTTAGCACTGTTGGCATAGGTACTAGCAGCTAYGGGTTCCAAATCAATCCCCCTTYGCATATCTGCAGTGACCACTCTGCGGCTTGGATTAAGCTGTTGTACTAGATTTTCAAACCCTGAAACTCTCTTTGCTGCACGTCCAAATTTGCTTGCAGTAATTCTTTTCTCTCTCATTGAAAACCATATACTATTATCACTCTGAGTTATTGTATTTTTTTCAAGATTGATTGCAACCTCTCTTGATATTTGCAACGAATCAAGTGTTGCCTGCTTTGTGGAACTCAAGCAGCCTGAAAAATTATTATCAATCCTTGTTTCAGAGCCTTTGAGTGGCAATTCAAGGAAGGAAGTACACGAAAAGTCATTGATAATATATTCTTCAGACAATTTTTGCTGATAGGAAAGTACACTTCCCTTAGCAGCAGCCCCAAAGCRGGTTTGAACTGACCGTAGAGAAGTCAGATCTCTAGACAATGGCACAACTGTTGCCATGAGGGGCTTTGGGTCTAGATCTTGTAGGACCTCACAGCCGATTAAACTATRCATATCTGCTGGAGAGTATAAAGTGCTCTTGATAAACTTATTGTAGTTTGCACYTGGCTTAGGTTTTTTAACCATGATGTCTTGTATGGCTTTGGTCGTGATTTCTTTCTCTCGAGGAACACTCCATCGCTGTGGCATACTTGTACAGGTCAACTCATCAGRCAGYGATTTAAGTCCTAACTGTTTACAGTGTGCCATGTASAAAAGCAAGCTTATTACATGCTGACAATATCCACTGATGCCTGCAACACAAGAACACTTGGCCTTGATTTCTTTAGTAGCTTGGTTGACATTGACATTAAGGGTGTGAGGTGGCTGGCTCTTTCTCATGGAACGATAACACTTGGCAGTCACATTAGCAAAGCCTGGAGGATAGGAAACTACAAGGAGAAAATAATACAGGATATTAGAAGAGATTAGCAAAATATTCAACTTCGTATTTGTCGTTCATGCAGATGGTATTGTACCCTGGTCCCTAAGGTTTTTCTTAGTTATTTTATTTGTATTTTCTTTTTTTATCGCCCAACTAAACAACTACAATGAAATAATAAAAAAATACGAGGAAACTTCAAGGGARCATAATCGTTACCTTTAATATCGTGGAGATATCCAGGCTCGGCAAAGAATTTATATGCCTTCCTCGTATTGTCGCAACCAGACGCTTTCTTTGAATAGTCTTCTACTTCACCAAAATTAAGGTTTGGGAACCCCAATAAATCAGCAG